TGTGAACTTTGTGCAGCTTTATATTCAAACAGTTCACAAAAAGTCTCAACACGAGCAAATTCAATAACAAAAACGCACAAACTGCAATTTCTGAAAAGGTAAAACGTGTCCTGGCTTCAAAACCATACTTCCAACAACCACATAATCTGTTCAATATTCAATATACATCTGTCAATAATCACACTCTGACTCTTTTGCACATCGTTCACATCACACGTCCGAGACTGACGTAGTGAGGATGAATGTATGCGGAGCTAATTCCTGCAGCGCCGCACACATCGTCACATCTAACGGTGTCACAGAGTCGGCTGGAAATCGAAGAGGAGGCTGATTCATGCGGCCGACGGCTCTGTAGCGGCATCGACCGGCTGCTGCGAGCTGACAGCATGTTGTAGTTGTGACATTTGAGATGCGACAACAGCTCAGGACCTCCGACGGAGATAACCGGGACTGTTTAGGTTCTAACAGCGGCCGCCGACGGTGTGACCTTTAGTAGCTGCGTGTACCAGACACGGCAAACTGTTCGCTGCTCTTTGAGCTTCACATCATCAGGGAGATTTAACACACACATTTATTCTATTAAACGCCCTCGAGTCAGTTGGATCGATTCCAAGCAGGACAAAGAACATCAGCAGACGGGCCGACGGCTATTCTCCCGCCGCCAATGTACAGTTTAAGGATCAGCGGTTTAACAGCGGACATCAACCACCGCAGCATAAAGAGACCAGCTGACATCTGGGATATTTACGTAATAACAGCCTCAGAGTTAATTAACCAGCACGATGATATTAACACAGGAGATGCTTCAAAGCCTTGATTAGCTGATTAATTAACAATTTTAACAAGAAAATTCATTTCAAAGGTAATTTTTCAAGCAACAACTGGACAGTAGTTTGATGGGCTTCAAACAGTTTTCACAGTTTTGACATTTAGAGCTCAAGCAAACGATTAATCCTGACGTTAATTAGCTCGCTCACCGTCAGAGCTGAAACAATTAATCGTTTAGCTGTCAACTATTTAATTGTTTGCCACGATACAAATGATTAATCGGAGATAATGTCTGAATTATCGGCTTCTTAAATGTGAATCTTTTCTGGTTTCTTTCCTTCTTTATGACAGTAAACTGGACATCTTCGAACCGAAAGATGATTAACGAAACACTGACGGACATGTTTCACTATTTTATAAACCTATAAAACCATTTACTCACATTTGAAATATATTAAATGTTCACTCCTAATTTTATTAAGAATAAAGAGCATTTAAATAGAGTCAACGTGCTTTTTGTTTTTTTTTACTGCCAATATAGACTTTGCATTTATGGGCTGCAACTAAAGATTATTTTGGATTATTTTCTAGATTATCTGACCAGCTGTTTGGTCTGTAAAATGTCAGAAAAAAGGTGAAAATGTCCGTCAGTTGAAAGAAGGAAAGAAACCAGAAAATATTCACATTTAAGCTGCAATCAGAGACTTTTTTTGCTTTAAAAAAATACTCAACATCGGATTAATCTTGCATCAAAATAGTTGGCAACCAACCAGTTGGTTAACTGATGCTGCTCTGCTGTAAGTTCTCTGATAAAGTCTTCATTTTCCATCACAGTGATTTAAAACTTAACTTCAGTTAATGTACTCTTGGATCTAATAGCGTCACCACTGCTGACATGATAAAAAATTATTCTATTTTGAGAACATAAAATCAGTTATATTCATATAAAAGTGACGTTTTGTTTTCCTGATCGTGAGAAAATGAGATGAAACTAAATGACTGACTGATTTGAGATGCAATTAGGTGGATGCAAATGGCACAACAGTTGATATTTATAAATAGATTTTTACATAACAGTTGCTGAAAACGAGGTTCAAATCAAGTGACAATGCTGTTTGCTGAAATATGGAAGATATTCTAGGATTTAAATGCATTACAGACCAAACACCTTCACGATTAGCACAGAAAACAAACTGAAACACAGAATTTAGACTGTTTTCTTGAATAATTACTCACATCCAGTAACTTATTATGAAAACAGTTGGCGAATTATTCAATAACTGACAACTAATCAGTCAATCAGTGCAGATCTGGTACATATACACCAGTGTAGCTTGATTTACCAGAGTTAATAAAGGTATTTAAGATTCAAGACTTAAGGTCTTTATTTGCCATTTATGCACAGTCAGTCAGTCTAGGCACAGAGTAAGGACACCTATTAACACTATACAAGAGTAATAAAAGATAAAATACTGAAAATATACAATAAATAAACGTGAATGCTGCAGCTGAGGTATGAAAACTAAACAAGAAACCAGTCATGTACTACAGCAGCTGTCCAGAAACATGTAGAGCATTTACCAGAGTAAAAAAAAAAACAGCAGTGGTAACGTGGCAGGAGTCTCCTCTACACACAACACACACATGAATAAAAAGCACAAAAATAAATCAAGCGAATCAACTAGAAGCTAACTCCTGATGCATATTTTTCAAAGATTAAACCGTCAATACATCAAAATAGCTTGAATTTGTCATTTTTAACAATGCAACACGATATTATTTTATTAAATCTGCGTGCAAACTCAGATAAAACAGCCTAGCTTTACGGAATAATTAAATTAATTAGGTTTCCAGGAGGCACAAAGTGTGTTTTGCTTCAGTAAACAAGCTGAAGTTTGCTCGACACTGATTGAAGCTAACGCGGCTACGCGGCGGTTAGCCTCGGAGCTAACGCGGCTAGCTAGCTAGCCCGGAGGTTAAAAGTTAGCGCGAATAAAAACCGAATTAAAAGTCCGACTCACTCGTCGTCTTTCAGGTAGTTGTCCTCCGTGATGGGCTTGACGGGGGCGATGTTCTCCGTCGCGGTGTTGTAGTTTCGGAAACACACCGTCAGCTTCTCGTCGAAGTCGTGGACCAGGTCCTCCATCGACTTGAAGCTGCAGATCTCCCCGGAGAAGCTGTTGTCCAGGTCGGAGAAGTCGTCTAGGCCCGACGGGTCGCCCACGTTCGAGTTGAGCTGGTCCAGCCGCTCGGCGGACTCCGACGACGGCTTGAACTCGTTGAAGTCCTGCCAGTCCTCGTCGAAGTGGGCTAACGGCGCCGCCATGACTGCCGTGGGAGCTCGGTTCTCGGTGAGTCGGACCCCCGGATGGTGCTCTGTGTTCGGCTGCGGGACGAGAGACGAGCCGCGGAGAGAGAGAGAGGTGGAACGGGGCAAGGGGCGGGGCCTGGTGGCGTCACAGAGGAAGCCCCGCCCCGGCAGATGGAGCAAAACAAACCCACATTAAGACTCACAGTAGCCGAGTACTTTTACAAGAATACTTTACTCGAGTATTTCCATGTGGAGGGAATTATTCTACTTTCCAGCAAGCAAGGTTATCTCTACAGCACTTTATCACACAGAGAAAATATTCAAAATACAGGAAAATATAAAAATAAAATAAAACCAAATACAAAATAAAGCTTAATAAAAAAAAAAGTGTTGACAAGTAAATAGATTATTTATTTAATTATTGCAGAATAATTAAAATGGACTAAAACTGCAGAAAAAAATCAAAACAGGTAAAAGATCATGTATGCAATAAAACAGAGGAAAAAAATGAAGTAAGATTAAGTGAATAAAAAATGCAGAATAAATGTTCTGAATTAAATGCAGCAGAAAATAAAAACTTACTTTTTCTTCAGCTTATTTTTTAAAAAAACGATTTCCTCCTCTTACTCTACTACATTTATAGGACAGCTTTGTAAATTAGGCAGATTTGACACAGTAGATAATAGAACAAGATTTCTGTTATATTTGTTGATCATTCTTTAAATTAATATTTTTAAATATATGTTTTATTTTACAAAACTGTTTTGTGCATTTTTATTTTTTATTTTTATGAGGAATTTTTTATATATTTTTTTTATTTTCTTTTTTTTCTCCCCAAGATTTGTTCATTTAAAAACAGACCTAAACACATTTTTTTCCAAAATTGTTTGGCTATTTTTTTATTGTGATTTTTTTTTTGTTGCTATTTTTGGACTTTTTTTTTCATATTTTGAGACTTTTTAAATTTATTTATTTATTTGTATTTTCTTCACGTCTTCTTCCAAACAGCAGCGTACAGTCGGTTCACATTTCAGATGTCAGTTAGTTGTTGTCAGATTCCAACCAACTGTAATATTTCCTCTAAACTTTTCAATAATTTCAATAAATGTTCCAGTGACCCAAAGTCTCAGCAAAACTCTGAGATTGTAGAAAAACTGAAAACGAATTCGTGTATCAAAACTTAGTTTTTTTTCTTCTTTCATCTCCCATGATTCCTGTTTGGTTCCTCAGATCTACCTTCTGTCCCTGAATATAAAACTGGACATAAAGTAAAGAAATAAACTTTGACTTGTAATGGAGTATTTTTACTTTAAATCTTCTGCATTCTGGTGATTATTTCATGCACCAATTTATTCTTTTTCTGCATCAATTCAAGGTGGAAATGTCTTTATTCATGTAAAGGAAAATCCACACACTGAGTAGATGTTGTCGTGATATTTCAAATTAATGAAAGTCTTTTGCTTCTTTCGTGCTTTTGTGAATGTATAATGTTGTGAATTCTGAGGATGCTGACCTGTTGTCTGATTTATTGTTGCTTTGATGGCTTTTTACATAAATGTAGTTTTTTATTCAAATACAAAACTTTAAACACACCAGCAGGTGGCGCAATAAGCTGCACATTAGAAAACTAGCTGCAGACCTAATATATCTTCATCATAAAGTTGTGAAATAACTTAGTTTATTTCTTCCTTATTGGCTCTTTTATTATATTTTATGGCACTTTCACTACAAACTATTGACCTGTGAGTGTAAACCAACAGATAAGAGCTGGTTATGTTCATGTTTTACATTTTGTCGACCAGTTTGTTGACTTCTTTGTAACACTGAACACTCGGTTACCTGCGTCCGTGTGCACTGACTCCCCAACAACAAGTCTTACTTAAAATAACTCGACTTTATTGGCAATAGTTCTTATTACTGCTAATGTTGGCATCAGAGACGGCCTCCTCCTCCTCCACCTCCTCCTCCTCCTCCCGGGTGCTCTAGCCCTAAACAAGACATTTAGAAACGAACCCGCCGAACACAGTTCTGACAGAAGCCCGGCCCGGCTCTGCAGCGGAGGCCTGGACACATGCAGTGACTGGGAGGGGGTGGACCTGGACGTGAGCAGGGCGGGAGAGATGTCCGGCACCACCACACTCCTGTGTTCTTTTTTTTTTGTTTGTTTGTTTTGTTTTTTTCAAAACCCTGAATGCTTTATTGAAAATATGCATACATAACACTTTTCCTACACAACAATACAAAACAGTACAATCACTTTTTTTTGTTTGTTTTTTGTAAATAACACATTGAACGCAAAAGAAAATCCCCCACACATCTTTTTTTTTTTTTTTTGTCCCGCCCGAGCCCAAGGAACTTAGAGATGCTACAGTAAGCCCTTATTATTCCCCACCCAGTCCCGACCCGGTCCCGACCCACCACCACCACCACCACCACCAGCATCACCTCTGAGAAGTAAGACATAGTTAAATCAGAAACAACTCCCTCCAGACAGAAGAACAGAGTAGACACCAGGTTGCATACAGACAAAGCGTTTTGTTTTTTTTGTGCCACCAGCAGGTGATCCATGGTTTCTTTCTTTTTTGTTGTTGTTGTTGTTTTCGGGTCTTCTGAAATGATGTGTGGCGTGGAAGAGGAGTCCATTCTCAGGAGTGGAGTTTGAAAGGATAAAAAAAAAAAAAAAAGGTTTACGAGATACCAGATGGTGACGAACAGAACCTAGAGAAAACACCACACCTGTGTGCCGCCGGGAGATGTCGGGTCAAAGTTCATGGAGGGAACTCGTTAAAGGCGAGGGGTGGATAGTCCGAACCTGATTTGATTGTAGGTAACACACTTCCTAAGACTCTTCCTGTCGGCCTGGGTGTTACTGTGCATATTCGTTTGTGAAAAGCAGTGGTGAGGTTAAAAAAATAAATAAAATAAAATAAAAACACAAACCAAAGGATGAAAAGAAAAAGTTAGGTTACAAAATAAAAATTAGGACTCCAAATGTCTGGTTATATTTTAATATGATCATACAGGAAATAGAGAACAACCAAAAAAAAAAAAAAAAAAAAAAAGACAAAAAAAAAAATAAGATATAATAATGCGAACAAAACAAAAATTAAGTAACAAAAGAAGTTCAATAAAAACAGACAGAAAAGCACTGTTTTTAAACATTTTACTGTAGCAAAGAGTCATTACATACCCTGAAAACGGGAGGAAGAAAGCTCTGGATGGCGACTGACCACCGGGTAACTTGGCTGGAGAGCAAAGAGGGGTGTTTACGCCAAATTCTCCGTTTTTTTTTTTCTTTCTTTATAGACTTTTAGATCAGTCACTGCGTTTGGGTGCATAGAGGCAGAGCCAGATCCTGCTGCAGTCTCCTGTCTTTGCCAATGCAGCCTCTGTCGTGGGTTTATGTGCAAGAGAGAGAGAGCGGCGGGAGTGGAGGGCGTGGAGGGAGTGGAGCTTTCATACATACTCAGGGTTCGTGTGCAACTGTATGAACAGGAAGGCAGTTTGTGTGTGTTTTTGGGGGGATTACAGCAGCGTGGGTTCTCCGCTTTACAATCACCTTCTCGTATGGAATTGACCTTTTTTTTCTTTTTTTGCTAAACGACACACGACAGCTTCCTTTTTTTTTTCTTCCTGAATCGCTCAACATTGCTAGATCCAATAACATCAGTGCCGTTTGAATGCCACATGAAGGAGGAGGAAAGGGAGGAGGAGGAGGAGGGGGAACCAAAAAAAAAAAAGTAAAAATTAAAGCCCCGGATTAAAAAAAACACTTTTTTTTTCTTCTTCTTCTACAAAATGGCTCTCAAGTATTCTTTGTTCCACAGATAGAGGTCCCTATGGGGCTTTGGATAACTCAGAATCGGTTTAAAATCCTCTTTACAATTTTGACTCTGGGATCAGGAGCGTGGAGGGGATGTAGGGAGGGAGGGAGGAGGGAGGCAGGGCGAGAATATTCTGCTGGTGCGAATTGAACACACGTACAAAAAGAAATAAAACAAACACGCGCCGATTAGATCTGCACCCAGTGACGTCATGCACAGCTCACCATCACTCAGTCACACTAGGGAGGGACAGCGGTCGTGCACCTTTAAGTCGCACTTGAACTTCTTCCACGTCTCGAAGCGTGTCTCTCGAGGAACACCTCCGAGTCGGCTGATATGTGACCCGCGGGTCGCTCCGTCCTCCTCCGGGCGGATGTGATGGAGTTGTGCGGTTGGCTAGCTCGTCGGAGGGGGGCGGGGCCTCGTTACAGCGACTGTCCTTGTTAGAAGTTTTAAATTAAGGAATAAAAAGTTTGTTTGTGTTTTTTTTTTTCTTCCTTCCTAATGCTGAGAAAACAAAGTGGAATCTTCACGCTAAAGCTTTCCACGGGCACTACTCGAGCTAAGGTTCACCTCTGAAACGAAACGCTATGACTAATCATAAAAAACATTTAGCATAGCCTCTTTTTTTTTCTCTTTTGTTTTTTCTCTTTGTCAGCTGGTCGGTCAGTGTTTTATTAACGGAGGATTTTCAGCCTTGTTTTTTTTTTTTTGTCCCAAAAGATGCGAAGAATATAGCGAGAAAGAGGAGGACGGGGGCAGAGGAACACATACATACAGAAGAGTTGCTATATCCTCCCCCGGCAACACCCCGCCCGAGTCCAATGGAGACACTATACAGGTGAGACAGGACAGGTGTAGTCCGATGAGGAGCCGGCTGTCCGGAGGCTTCCTGGGAAACGTGGCTGCTGACCGAGCGGCGGAAAATGGAGGAAGAAGGGTCGGTTGGAAGAGTCGCCTCCCGCCGGGCTCGGAGGGTTCCCGGGCCGCCGGGTCGAGGTCGTGACTCTTCTCGGGGTCCGTCGTCGCCTCCACCGTTCTGCCAGTCAGGAGACAAATTCTTCTCACTTGTGTGTTTCTCGTTGGGTTTTTTTTTGCGTTGGTGGCCTCTGGTGGTGATTCTTCGCTTGCTTGGTGTCGGATTGTGTTTGCCCGTTGGAGTTTTCGTCTTATTGTGGGATTCTTGGATTGTTGTTAAAGAGAGACGTCATCTGCTCCGTTAGTGACCATCAACTGTCCATGTTACTGCAGTTTTCTGAGGAGGAGAAACACGAGACATGTAAATACGACGCTACAAGTAGAGCTCCCTCTAAACCAGGGAGCTCCACCTCCAGTCCTCGTGAGCTACCGTCCTGCAGGTTTCAGACGTTACCAAAACACACCGCACACACAAAAAGAGATCCACAACACCCTGGTCAAAAGCTACACAAAACTCTGAAAAAGCCACACACATGAGACACAGGTGTGGCAGAAACATCTAAAACCTGCAGGACAGTCGCTCACGAGGACCGGAGCTGGAGATCCCTGCTCTAAACCAACAAACACAAACAAAAAAACACCAGCAGTTTGTCTTTAAAAAAACTTTTAAAAAGTCACTAAAACAACCCTTTGACCTTCTTTTCTTTTGTTAATTCCACTTCTTCCTGACTTAAAGAAGGCATTTGTGGTTCTTTTATTGTTCTGTTTCCTGTTGTTGTGTTGGTACATTTTGTAAATCTTTCACCAGGTTTGGCTCTTTCTCTCTGGTCTTTTTCCTTCTGTTCGGACTGACCTTCCGTTTAATTTCTAATTTTTTCTGTTTTTAAAAAGCTGTTCTATAAATAAAGTTATTATTATTATTATAGAGGTTTTTAAACACTTAATGACAGCACACAGACGGCTGCTGTCCTTGCTGGTTACCGTTCAGTCCGTCGGCCTCTTGTGAGTCGAGGAACGGCGCCGGGCCCCAGACCCGGACCGTGCCGTCGTCGGAGGCGGACGCCATGAGGCCCGGGATGGCCGGGTTCCAGCTCACGCAGTTCACGGTGCGGGTGTGTCCGGTGAGCTCGGCGATGGGCAGCTCTCCACGCCGGTGCCAGATGTACACTTTGTGGTCTGAGGACAGGCGGAAGAAAGAATGTTTAGATTGAAGCAGGAAGTACTGGACAAGACGGAGTTCTGGTCACACGGTGTTCTAGTTTTCCTGTTGACTGTATTTTTGTTTATCAGTTATTATTGTCAAACAGTTTGGTCGATCTGCTCTCTTAAACCGGACTCTGACTGGTTGGACAGTCTCTGGTTCATAGAGAGTAAAGCTCCACATCAGCAGGATTAATCCATTATTTCACCCTCTCACACCACCCCTCACCCCCACGCTGTCACAACTTTGAGCTGGTACAACCTGATGCACACTGTTGGCTTTAACGTCATTATTTAACAGATAAAACAGCAGCAAAACGGCACGAAATCACTTAAAACAAACAGCAAGAGACACAAAATAACACGAAGAAACGCAAAAACAGGCCACAAACGAGACACAAAACAACCAGAAAGACGCACAAAATTACTCAAAGTACCACAAAACGGCAAAACAAAGACAGAGAAAGATTAGAAAGCGACCACTCGCATCCAAACTAACTGATGTTTCTGCACTTTGTTCAGTCAGATGGACAAAACGTTGAGTGTAAACAGCGACCGACGAGTCAGATCATCCAGAACCAGCAGCTCACTGGTCTGTGATCAACAGATAGCGGTGTTTTTTAATAAAAATAATTAACACAGGCCTCGAAAATCACACATCTGTCGACGAATTCTCCAAACAAACACGACAGAAAGTCCGACAGAAAATACTCCACTGGTTCTTGTGTTTGCATCACGATCAGGTCAGACTTAATCTCAGCTCATTACACATTATATTCTGTTTTCCAGAAGTGTTTTCTTTGTGCTGTGTAACAACGACACTCAGTCGTTGCATCTTGTTTTATTTCTGTAGAGCTGAGTGTTCAGCACAGAAGAATAAATCAGGCTCTCACTGTCGATCAAATCCAGATTTACGTCAAGCTTTGTTCAAACGAGTCAGTTCTCCAGAAGCAGAATGACTCCAAACACACCGGACAGCGTGTCCTACTGAACGCAGAACCGACAGTCGAGCCGCTGACTGCTCTGACAGTACCTTCGCTGCCGCTGGCGATGAAGTCTTCGTTGTGTCCTCCGAAGCAGGAGTGGATGGTGTAGAAGCCCTGGGTCACACCTTGGTACTTCCTCACCAGCACCCGGTCCTGGAGGTCCCACAGGTGCACGCCCTGCGAAAAGGTCACAGAGGAAGAAGCGCCTGTGAATCCTGAAGCGGCAGAACGAAGCGGCGGAGGGAATGAACTGACACCACCGGCAGCGGGGAAGGTCTTACCTGAGTTGCTACATTTAACAAAGCTAATCTTCCGTTCTTTGAAACAGTAAAAGACATGATAGGATGGTCCTCCTGGACTCTGGAGGACACAAGGACACAAGCGTTAGTCACCGCCATGTTTAATACAACAGCACACTCGTTAATGCAGGAGCTGGTCGTTTTCTTGTGCTACCAAATGGTTTTAAATGACACGAGCTCCTGTCCTGTTCAGTAACGACAACAATAAAACAAATACACGCACATGTTTCTGTCCGTAAGGTCCTCGAAGTTGTAGCCCCGGATGCGCTGGTGGGTGTCCGAGGCCAGAACTGTCCTGCCGTCGCTCAGGCACCACAGGCACTGGACTCTGACGCCCTCCCAGGAGTCTAACAAGTTACCGTCCAGGTCCTGAAGACAAGAGACATCAATCAGCTCTCGTTAATGGAAACACAAGGTGGCAGCGTTCACCTACAGACGACCGTCGTCTTAGGAGCGCTGTCGTCCACACGGGAGACCTGCTCGGTCACAAAGTGCACATTCATCATCATCCTCCCAAACAACAACACATCGAGTTCATCGGGTTCACGGCTGGAAAATCAATAATCTCAAGGAGATGATTATCTTTTGGCTCGAGCAGATGTTGAACAGCTGCTGTGCACGCACCCAAACTCACGCTTTCGAAGCAAAGATTGAACATAGGAGCGACACTTAATTCTCCAGAGCTACAAAAAAATAAATTAAAATAAGGAAATCGTAGAAGCAGAAGAAGCAAAGAGCAGCTTCTTTAGTCCAGAACTGATCCTTGGCTGGTTTTTACTGCAGCTCCTGGGATTAAAATGACCCGCACTGGTATCGAGATGAGCATTTTTTAATCCCCCAGTGGGAGAATTTTGCATTTCGGAGATATTAGTAGAAAAATAAGGGTTACTGCACAGACTCATGAAACCAGAGAGCCCGTCCTGACTTCACATGACTTTAATTTTGTCTTCATTTTATTCATTATATCTTCCTACTGTTCCTACAATGCACTGGTTTTTATATAAATCTGTTTTTCCTGCCTTTAAACTTGCACTTTGCAACGTGTTTTGAAAAGTGCTACACAAATAAAGTTTATTATTGTAGAAATACAGATAAAGATGTATTATATTTGCACAGAAACTACCAGTTTTGCACATATCAGTGTTACTGCATGAGTAGAAATACTGATAAAGTGTTCGTGTTGCACAGATTTGTCTGTCAGCAGATAAATATGCACATATTCTAGTATTTGGAGAAAATGTGATGTTGCACACGAAAAGTGAAAAATAAACCCCTGGATGCACTCACACACTGATAAAACTGTCCTCTCTGTCCCCCGGTGACGAAGCGCTTGCCGTCGGGGTTCCAGGCCACGCTGGTCAGACTGTCTTCGTGGGACTGGGACATCTTGGTGCGCAGCTCCCCCGTCTGGTCAGGAGGAGAACGACGGGCACGGTGGAAAAAAACAAGAGGAGGAGGAGGAGGAGGAGAGAAATGGGGGAAGGGAGAAGAAACATTAAGTAAGAGTGGGGGAGGGAAGGACAACAGAGGAGCGAGGGGAGGGGAGGACGAGGAGGAGAGGTCACTGAGTACACCGATCTATGGAGGCCATAGGCTTTGTTTTGCTTCTGCGCTTGTTTACTGGAGTCGAACGACACGTCTTAGGCGTCATCGATCTGCTGGATGGGGTCGCTGCCGTTTAAAGGGGCGGCGTGGGATTAGATTTTTTATGAAAAACATTACCTGGACGTTCCAGAGCCAGAGCTCGGAGCAGTCGTCGGGTCCGCAGGCGATCAGGTAGGTGTCGTCGGGGCTCCAGGCCAGGTAGGAGACCCCGTAGGCGTGACCCTCCAGGGTTCGCAGCAGCTTCACCTGGTGGCTCTCCTGCTCGAGACAAGGACGAAGAGACGCTTTAGGACGAGACAAAACCGGGGATACACCGACTATCGGCATGGCTGATTATCACAGCCGATATTTTCCTGCAGCTGTGATCAACACATGACAAAAATCTATTCAGCTGAACTGCAGGCAGTGTTTACACAAAGACAATCACCAATTTATCAAAAAATAAATAAAAAACTAAAGGATCTGTCAGAAAAACTAACCAAATCTCAGCTGAAAATATCAGAACCTTATTATTCTGCATCTGCCAGCAGTAAAATAATATTCACTTCTTAAGCTGACACTTAATAACACCATTATAACCCTATTATTATTTAGTACACCGTATACTTACATATTTTTAATTTCCTTTGCACTATGTTTATTTTTATATTTTCTACTCATGTTTATCTTCTTTTTCTTCTGCTTGAATTTCTAAGACTTTGAAAGGGATCAAATGAAATAAACGTGATTCTGTAATAACACACGATCACGAATATTGCACTGAAAGATGAGATGAAAATAAAACTGACAAAGTGCACGCTACACTGACGATGTGGGACATGAAGGTGAAGTATTTTGCACATGTAATTAAGATGCTGCAGTTGAAATGTTACCCATGTCACACTGCACAATCTAAAGAAAAAATAAACACTGCAACTGATATTGATATAACAGTTTAGATGTGAGATGTTTAAGCTGCCGGCTGTCTTTACCCGCTGAGGCCTCGGCCCTTTTCTGTGCCGATAGAAGAACCTCACATAGTCAAATAAGTGCAAATTGGTTTGCGAGACGTTACATAACATTCAGGCTTCATGCACGCTAAAGGCCAAGTCATGCTTTCTGCGCGTCCGTGAGGCGACGCATGATGTGCCCTTCGTCATCCGCCCACATGAACCCCTCTGTGGGCATCTGCAGCCCAAAATCTGCGGCCAGTGGACCGTCGCAGCGGCTGCACGTGTGCCGGGAAAACAAGCCCAGAACCAACGGAGAATCTGCGCCGTCATAATTCGTCATTAGCTTTAATTGGAGAAGCTGCTGCCAGACTTCGGAGGCGGTTTGATTTACACGAGCTCTCCAAACGCAGCGGGTCGCTCTCAGTTCTCCAGATATCCTGAGCTGGACTCAGGAATAATCACTGCCACGCTGCTACGGTTCAATCTGTTACTGGCTGCTGTATCTTGTAGAAGCAGAAAAGTCACAGCCTTCTAAAAACATCCAGGGACGCCCCGTGTGTTGATCTGGATTTAATTTAATGTGACCATCTGTAGCACATCGGAGCAGATTTTCTGTCATATGAAAAGAAACGCATGCATCTGTTTAAGTATTTCTACTCATGGAAGAATCTGTGCGACATCTGAATTGAAGAACCTACACTGATGTTTATTTTTTATATTTTTCTACGGATGCTCCCTACAGTTGAGCATCGTCTCTTTTGTTGCTGTAGCGCTGCACATTTCCCTGTTGTGAGATTAATAAAGCAAAATTTTTAGTCAATTTAACCTTAATATTTTCTGTCCAGATTTTTTACTTGCATTTGGTCCTTTTCATACGACATTATAATCGTGCAAACTAATCACTGAACTTGAAATTATGACTTAAAACAATAGAATTTGCAAATTTGCAAAGGCTGCAATTAAAGATATGCTATGCAGTGTGTCTGACCCAAAGTTTGAACCGTCATGTGACTGGTTTTGTCTTGATGCTGCTAATATTCTTGAGAGACGGTCGCACTTTTGACGGTGCTTCGAGTGGTAAAGCTGACAGTAAATATTGAACTTAAGCAGGACTTTCAAACATCAATCCACTTCAGAAAACATGTTCCTATTTTACTCCTACTGTTCCCACTACTGGAGACTTTAAGACTTGTGTAAAGTTGCTAATGCTTTGTCTGGATGGTTCAAACACTCATTCTGTGCTGTTTTCTGACTTTTTTTTTTATCACCTGACGATTTTCCAGAAGAAAACAAAGCCTTCAGCCTCGACTCCCAGCAATAAATTCAACATTAATTCCACAGAGCTGATAAATTCCAGGTGCTGCTGACCTCGTTCTCTCTGCAGCGGCGGTTTAATTCTACTTTCTGCAGCTGAACAACCAGGCTCTTGGTCCACGTGTGCATCGTCAACGTGCTGCGTGTTCGCAGGCGTCGTTTTAGGAATATTAAAATGGATGAGTGAAAAATTCAAGGCCATTCCAGGCACCTCCAAAGGTAAACCGAGTCTAGTCTGTGTGACAAATCAGTTTTCTTCAGTCCATGTTTGAGGGGCGACAAATTCAAAAAGACTCAAGTCTGAGCCCAAATAAAAGAACCTGGAGGGAAATAGACTTCTGTGAATTTATTGTTAGAGTCCTGCGCTCTAAAAACAGGCAGCGCTGACAGAACGAGGCGACGAAACCATAAGGACAAACTGACGACTTCCGTATTTATTCTAATTAATAAATGCGTGAGCTAAAGAACGAAAGCATGTTTGCATTTTGGTCGACAGTGTCTCTGCTTCAAAGAGCTAAAACCGTATAAAATGTGCACAAACAGGTCACCGCGACATGACCGCCACATTCCTGCGGCTGTGAACTAAACCACATGTGTTTGTTTATTTCACACTCACCGGATCCACTTGCCAGATTATGACCGTAGTGTCTTTGGAGCCGGTGGCCAGTTTGGTGCCGTCGTTTGAGAATTTGCAGAACCACACCTCGTTGCAGTGCTCTGTCAGGATCTGCTGGGTGTAACAGGGGAACTGCTTCCTGCAACACGGACACACAAGAAGAAAATATCAGCTGCATCTCAGAACTCTGCAGGAACAGTGGGATCTAATGTGCAATACAGGGGGAAGGAGAGGACAGTAAACAGATTATGAAGCTGCGAGATAAAGGAAGGAGAGCAAGTGCAATGCTGAGGGCGAAACATAAAAGAGTTAAGACTCCTAATGAAGAACATAACGCTGGTCTTTGACTGCAGCAACAGAAACGTTCGGTACACTGGTTTTCCATAATGTTGTAGCCTGTATATATCCATCCACATGTGTTTTTATTATATCTTTATTCTTAGCTTTATTGTACTTTTGTAGTTCTTGTCCTGTATCTAGCTGCTGTAACATATAAAGTAGTGATCGACCGCTTTTCAGGGTTGATACCGATGCTGATTATTGGTAATCACCAAAGCCTGATAACCTGTTTTTGAAACCAAGGTACATTAAATGTAAATTTCTAACAGCATGTGAGAGAAGAGAACCTGCCATTCATAACTACAATAACTGAACAAGACACGACAGAAAAACGAGACACGACAAACACACAGAGGGGACGAAACACCCCGAACGAGAAGCAGCAGAAAAACGAGACACAAAACGACACAAACGAGTCACAAAATAACACAAAAAGGGCACACAATGATACGAATGAGACACAAGAGAAAATGAGGCACAAAAGGACACAAGCGAAGCCACAACATGACAAAAAATGAGACACAAACCAACAAACAGGAATAGCACGGATCACACCAGGATCAGCTGAGATTGTTCAGTTTGTCTCTTCTCTAGTTTCTTAATATTTCTCTGTTCTGTCACTTTTATTCCCCTGTAAGGTGCAGATCTTAAAGCATTATTAGTTACTGTTTTCCAGACTCTGTTTCAGGTTAATATGTGGCTGCCTGCTAACTTAGCCGTTAGTGTAGCCTTAGCCTCTGCGAGAGAAGCTAATTTCGTGCTTTGTGTTTCATTTAACCGACAAAACACTAAATCTAAACAGAAATCAACACAAACAAGAAGAAAAATAACAATACGAGCAAGACACTATATCAGCAAAACAAGACCGGAAATGAAACAAACGAGATACGAAACGACACAAACGAGACACAACCTGACAAAGATGACGACACAAACTAAACACAAAAGAAAAATGAGACACAAATCAACACAATACAACACAAGTGAGACACAAACCGACAAAAACAAGAAACAAAACACCCCAATAAAGACACAAACAACACACAAAACGAGACAAATGACTCACAAAACAACACAGGCGGCATACAAAACAACACAAAAAGGGCACACAATGCACAAGCGAGATATGAAACGTCTAAAACGAGACACGACCTGACAAAGACGAGACGTACAATGACACGAACAAAACACAAAAGAAAAATGAGACACAAATCAACACAAAACGACAAAAACAAGACACACAACGGCACGATAAAGACATAAAACAAGACAAATCGAGCACACAATGATGCGAACGAGACACAAACCCACAAACAGGAATAGTAGTGATTAAATTAGGATTGATAGAGATCAATTTGTCTCTTCTCTAGTTTGTTAACATTCCCCCCTAAGGTCCAGATCTTATTATTAATTATTGCCTCAAGGCTGCTTGCTAACTTAGCTGCTAGCCGTTAGCGTAGCCTTAGCCACTGTGGGAGAAGAGAATTTCCTGCATTGTGGCAATGGCTTCAGGTTTTGCTGCTTGAGAGACGTTTGTGAGACCAACTAGTCAGCAAAATCACGACACTGATAATCAGAAAAATGCCAAACATCTGCCACAGTCGGTCTATCCCTAATGTCAGAGACACAGTTTGAGCCTTTCAGCAGCTCAACATCCAAGTTTCACAGCAACAAGAGGTCAGACGACGCGTCGACACCGACCTGCTGCAGACGTGGTCGAGGAGGAGGGACACCGAGTCCAGGTTACTGTCCAGCTTGGTGTTGTGGTAAAGGCAGCGGTCCCTCTGCAGCTCCACCGCCTGGCGCAGCAGAGTGTGCAGCCGGCGGGGCGGCAGCATCACGGAGGGCGGCAGGTACGCTGCAGGGGAGAGCGGCAGGGACACAAGTTCAGCCCTGCGCGTGGAATGAGTGTGTGGAGAAAGGTGTGCACGGTCAGTGTGTGGGCGTGTCTCCTCACTCTGCAGTTTGTCCAGCAGCCGGCAGCGCGAGGCCGTGCCCTTCCCCTCCCACTCGGCCTTGGCCCGGAGGTCCTCGGCGTGGCTGCACATGAGGTACCTGCGAGACGCGAGAACGCAGTTAATGCAGCAGGAACACCTCATAAAAGACAACAAAAAAAAGCTGTGCATGCTGCCAAGACATTACCAAGAGGTCAGCAGGAGTTCAAAGCAGTGATTAACACAGTGGGAGTCTGTGGGAATGGAGCCCTATTCAGACAAGTGAGGGCAATCTGTCATTCAGATATGGGTCATTATTATGTTATTGCTCCTCACTGCTTTCTAGAGAACATCCAGTGATATATATACATAACACATCTCTAATCAACTAAAACATCTGAAGTGTGAGTAAATGTGTGTATCTTCTCTCTCATATGATGCAGACATGTGATAAACTCAGAGGAAACAGTCCTAAACAGCTGGAAGCAACAAACTTTAAGCCCTAAATGACACTCATTATTGGTGAATCTCATTAATCTGATCTGTTACAGACTTTTTATGGACATTATAGCTTCAAATAGATGTGAAAACGTGGAGCAAAGTGAGCGAGAAAGGTGCCTTGGTTCAGTTTTGTTGATGCGACTACATGACTACTCAGTCCGACTCAGTAAGAACGTTGTTCCTGGTTTTACAGAAAAGCGAGGATTCGTACATTTAACGGAAAGAAGTGCAGAGAAGGAGTCGGTCTTCTGTTGACCCCACGGTGACGAAGCTGTTTACTGGCTGCCGGCAGCGACACGCTCAAGGACGCATTTACATACAGCTGATTGATCGACCAAATAGACGCGACGGATCAATGCGCCGCTAGAGTGACGGCCCGCTCAGGTAAACAGGCTCGTCGGTGGTGTTGACTGATCGATTCACGCTAATTGATTAAAGGGAAACATGAGAGGAATTCCACCTTCTACTGTATGTCAAAGGAAAAAAACGGGTAAACAAACGATCAACAAGCTAAAGGTCGTCCCAGCCGCCACGATAAAGTCAAGGGCAAATACTGAAGCTTGTTTTTAAAAGCCTCATGACCACCGTCAATACTCCCGTGAGTAAACCCTCTGTTCCAGATAAACTCAAGAGGCCTCTTAACCTGCAATTTAACTCGATCAACAGCAGCTGCGTGACATTACAGACAAGATTAGAGCTTAAACATTAACCCTGGGAGCATTTATCACGTATTATTTTCATATTGGATGAAGCTGACTCTGTGTTACACCAATACATTCTAACCAGCCTCCGTTACGAAGCTCAGCAATTTAATATTCCCTCATTTAACAGCACATAATATTCCTATAACACAAGGGTAGAATTTGGCACGAGCGGCTCACTTTTAAAGCTGGCTCGTGACCGGCGGTGGAAGCTGCATCATTAGTGACTGCAGAGCTTTGTGAGGGCTGCGCGGCTTGTTTGTAGGTGTGTGTTTGTGTAGGCAGCGTGAACATTGTGCGATGACTGCGATGAGACAGATGCAGCATCAAACGGTACCCGCTGAGGACGTGGATGCGATCTGTGTTGTACTTGAGCGGCGTCAGCTCTCCCCGGAGGACCTGCAGAGCCTCCAGGACTTTGCCGTCCTCCAGGTACTCGAGGTACTTCTGCTGCAGCAGCAGGAACTTCATGCGCTGAGGAGAAGGAACAGAGGAGGTGTGTTAGAAGCATTCAAATCTGATTTCAACCACCAAACAGCACGACTGTTGATATAGAAGGACAGAGAAGTAGCACATTTTTAACCCTCTGAACTCCAAAATGTTCTTAAAAGGAATGTTGTCTTAAAAAAACAGACGACATTACACCATTTATCAGAGGAGGAAACTGTAAAAACAGCAAAACTTGTCAGATTTCCAACTTTTCCGACAGTCTTTTAACTCATCGTGTGCGAGTCTGTCTAGAAAAACAACAAAATCTGTTAAAAATCACAACATTTCATTTAAATCTTAAAAGACTCTTCAAAAACAAATACTTGAATCAGACGTAAAATTTAAAAATAATTCTGTAAAACAAAAACAATCATCAGATTTTCAGCATTCCTCAAACTAACCCTAAAAATGTACCGACACCAAGCTTAAAACTGCAAAATTTCATTAATAAAATTAAATAATTACAAAAATAAAGTGTTTGCACCGTATTCTATAAAAAGCTAGAAAAAAATCAGAAAGAATTCTCGACACATTTGACTCAGCTTTGACCAACAGTCACGTGACAAAAATTCAGGTTGAACTGCAGCCAGTGTTTCCTCAGAGAGACGGAGAGGAAAATAAAACCGACTGGATCAATAAATAAATGCAGCATGGATCAGAACCAGAGAACAGAGGAGCCAGTTGTTGGAGATACATCCAGCTGATGGTGGAACATCTTTCTACAGGTGATGGTGGAACATCTTTCTACATGACGGTGGAACATCTTTCTACATCTGATGGTGGAACATCTTTCTACATGTTGGTAAAACATGTGGACACTTGGAAAATGTTGATTTCAATTTTTGTAAAATAAAAACATCAAATCAATTCAACTTTTATTTTTTGATGGTTTCTGGCATTCTAACTGCGTCGTACTGCACAGACGACATCTCTGAGTTTTCTCTCCTCCTTCTGGGTTGTTTAGTTTCCACTGAGCTGCAGGACTTTATGTTGCAGTATAAAAAAAAAGAACGAGCCAACGGTGACAAATGAAGCAGAGAAAGTGTTTGGAGTTCAGAGGGTTCGGGTGCACTGCAACATCACAGAAATAAAACGCTATCTGATAGTTGTGCCACAGTTTTAAAGCGAAACAGTCGCAGCGTCTTGTAACTATGACATACTATCACATCCCATCGCGACAAGCGACGTTTACGAGGCGTGCGGTAAAATGTCAGCCTCGTATTCTTTCACGCTGATGGCTGCTGGCAAGTGTTTTCCAATCGCTGCAGGTCACCGGTGACATTTGCGGTATTGAGTGTCTCCGTCCTATCTCAGGTATGCAGCGCGGCCCCGACAACTGGTGCAGTTATACCGGCTGCACATAGACTCAGCACAACATCCTCCCACACCAGTCCACAAATAAAGACTCTCCGGCTTGGCCTGTGATATAAGTGCAGCTGCAGACCGGAGCGGCGCTAGGAGTCGTGTTGAGGACGACGGTCTGAACCCGGCGCTACGACAGATGAAGATCAACTCGACTGGTAACGGCAGCGAGACTGACTTCTGACACAGAGCAGACTGAGACACCGGGGAGCATTTCTGGAGCTAATTTTTTATGCTAATTGGCATGCTAGCTGGGGCTAATTAGCCTTAGCCGAGTCCCATTTCCAAAATGTAAAATATGCGCTCTCAAGCTAACCTCCAGTGGATAATATCTTAGCAGTTAGCATGCAGCATGAGGACTTTAATCAGTTTGAATTAATAAGAAATACAAGACGAACTCTCCCAGAGTGCAGCATAAATGATAATATCGTTGATTTTAATCGATCCTGAGCTCATGATTATCAAGAATTTTAGGGACAGATTAGAATTTTTGCACTTTCACGTTTAAAGAGGTGCTACATTCATGCTAATGTGCAAATCTTGCTTCAAATTAAGACTTGAAATTATCGTTATCTGATTTCAGAGACAAATATAAATTAAACTGCACCTTAAACAGCTGTAGACACGATAACTTATCAGTTCTCTGTTTCCTAAACGTCTCCCATGCAGGCTGCACTAGAAGCTAACTACCTGGCTGTGCACAGAGAAGCCTCTAGTCTCCATCACTTACTCCACTGTGAATGGAGAGAATTTTATAAAATATATATTTTTTGCAATTGCTCATTTAAGCAAACATTAAAGCTGCAGCACATCCCTACTGATGTAAAGATCTGCATCAAAACAACACTTTAAATAATCTTCAGCTGAATTCAGAGCATCTCCTAGAATATAAATTCGTGTATCTTAATATAAATTAAACTGAACCCAAAAGGTCTCACTGGCCGAACACCTGCTGATGTAAAGACACTATAATGTACCGATGCTCCCTGAACGCCTCACATGCAGGCTGCACTAGAAGCTACCGACCTGACTGTGCACAGAGAAGCCTCTAGTCTCCATCAGTTACTGCAGTGCAGCAACTTGATTAATCAATCTGATTTAGCCAAAGCGATTTTACTGATATCTGCTGGTTTTCATGAGCAAAGTATTTTAAATGTCAACATCACACTAAATCACAGCCAAAATCTGGATTAATTTCCAATAATTGTGTTCTGCTTTTGCAGTAATTACTCGATAAAAGTTACTATTAAATCAACTGCATCAGTAATATGTCCTAAATGTGTTATTCTAAAGTGAATCTAAAGCTCCCCGGTGGACAGTATTCATAAATGAGAGCAGCTGCTTCACGTATCTTTGCTATTTCTGTGCTGCACCTTAAAACAGAAATACTACAAATCAAATCGATAAATCAAATATCAGCTCCTTCGGGTCCATTAGTTTAAATCACGCTGGCAAATTTGCTTAAAACAACATTCCCCAAATCTAACACGGTGTCTTTTTTTGTTCCTTTTCCGAGGCCTCGTCTAGAACATTTCTAACGCTCCGCAGCAGGAACCGGTGCTACGGCGGCACCGTTCTAGAACCTCCAGCGGTGCCTGCGAACCCGCTGGCTGGCTCAGGTCGGCGCACAGGGAAGCTTACCACAATGGCGTTGGGAGAATGCATCAGTGCTCTCAGCTCGTTGAGATCATTCTCAGCCTGGAACGAAACAAAGGCAGACAGGCAGAGAAATGTCAGCTCAGCAGTTTCCGTGCATGGACAGAAAAAAAACACACACTGATCATGTCAACGGTTACAGAAACAAACACAAACTGCTTCCACTGTTCTGCAGGTAGACGAGGCTTTAGGGGTTAAAACACACGACCGTCGGCCAGCGGAGAGTTCAGATCTGCTTCCTACATTCAAGTGTTTATGATTCATTTTCCAGCCTTCGGTTCTGATGCAGGATCATTATTCCAGAAGTCTCGTTGTTAATAAGATTCGGCTCTGAAATGTCGGAATGAAAGCCGTTCTGCAGGCAGAACCGGTGATTCAGACGCAGAAAAACACCATAAAAACAGCTGATGTAAAGCGAATAATGTGAAATTAAGATTTAGTAGTTACAGTAATAATTAATATATTTAATAGACTTTTATTATATTAGATATTTACCAGACTTATTTAAATTTGAAGGTTTACTTCCAACAACAATATTTCTTAAATAATTTAAATGTGAAGATGAAGCATCTACAATATTATTTATCATATAAATTTGCCATTTTCTATTTTGCTAATTTATATTTATTAAAGTTAAAAACCTGCAACTTTATTTATTCTGCCAGTTTATCGACTAACACCCTACAGCAAGATTTATTATACAATAATAATAATAATTTAACTGACTTATTTTAAATTTCACACTCAACAATATTATTTCATATAGAAACATATTTTGCTAATTTACATTTAATAAAGTTTTTTCCCTGCAATTTTATTTGTTCTACTAGTTTACCTGACTAGCAAATATTAAGACTACAGTAATTATACATTTATATACAAACATATTATCACATTTGTTAAAAAATACAAATATAAAATACTAATTTACGCGACTAATTTAAATCTTAAGTGGCAGGTAAAATAATAATAAGTAAGTTTGTTTGTATCCGTCTAAGTTATACAAAGACCTTCTACAAATATAATCCATCTCAAATTAAACCAAACATCAGAATAAACAGTTTCATGTAAACTGACTCGTCATTCCTCTTCAGTAATGTTTTGGTTTAGTTGAGTCTGACTTGCAGTGTTTAACAGAGTGACGCTCTGATGCTAACGTGTGGCGGCTGTCTATCAGATCTTTGGTTACCCACCTTGTCCCACTCTCCCTCCATCACATGGTTGCGGAACTTGGTGGCCGACGGGTGTTCCAGCCTGCAGCCCGACTCCTGCATCAGCAGGTCCACCGTCTGACTGCAGACACACAGACGGGAAGCAAAGTTAGAAGCAAAGACTCAAGACTTGAGACGACAACAGCAGGAGAGGAAGGAACCGAGCACAGAGGTGATACTTATGCTGAGTCCGTTAGAGCCACATTTCTGGGTTAATTATCCACCTTTCAATGACCAAGACTTAATCACTTACATGTCAACTAATAAATCAATGGTCAGCTATTCAAATAATCAATGAACCAGTTTGCGTATAAGAAAAACAAACTGTTTTTTTAAGAGAACAGCATCTTAAATGTGAATATTTTCTGGTCTCTTTGCTCCTCTGTGACAGTAAACTGAACATTTCCTGGGTTGTGGACAAACTAAACATCCATCTAATTGTGATTTTTCTACCAGATTTGATTTGTAATATCATTTTATTAAAGCCAGGCTTCAGCTCATTATTAACTGTGACTGAGTATTACCACATGAGACAACAAACGATTTATTGATTATTCGTCTCCAACTGTTTTGAGCCTCGATTAAGTAATTTAAAAGAAAAAAAGCCCAAATTCTGTAATTGCAGCGTCTTAAATGTGAATATTTTCTGGTTTCTTTCCATCTTTGTGACAGCAAACTGAATATTTTCTGGGTTGTGGACAAAACAAGACATTTGTCAAAAGATCTAATTGAGATTTGATTTGCAATATCATTTTTTAAAGCCAGGCTTCAGTTTAATATTTAATATTCACTGTGATTGAGTATTATGATGATTTATTGATTATTTGTCAACAACTGAATTAATCTCCAACTGCTTTGATAATCGATTAATTGCTTTTAAAGAAAAATAAGCCCAAATTCTCTGATTGCAGCTTCTTAAAAGTGAATATTTTCTGGTTTCTTTCCTCCTCTGTGACTGTAAACTAAAAATCTTTGGACAAAACGAGACATTTGTCATCTTTGGGAAACACTTATCAACATTTTATAGATCAAACAGCTTCTCAAGTCATCAAGAAATTATTTGACAATGAAAACACTCGTTATTTTTCCTCCCTGCATGAGACATAAAGGAGAATTAAGAAAGGAGAGGAGGTGAGGCGGCTTTTCATCGATCGACTTGAAGCCCGTCCTCAGTGAGCACACGATTACGTGAAATGACATTTCTGGGCAGATTATTCAGCTTCTCTTCACTGACCGCTTGTGACACGTAGGACGATGTCGTAGTTTGAAGCTCAGCTGATAGGTGAGCGAGCGATGAGTAAAATTAACGTGCGAGCAACGTTATTGGGGAGAAGGCAGGTTGAATATATTTCTTATTTTATAACGATCATGTGCTGCACAGAGCAACAAAACAAACTCTGTGATCATTTGTCTATTTTGTTTATCGCAATATGAAAAGAAAACAAGTTTCACCAGATTACCTCATCAAAAATGTAAAAATATATTTAAAAAAATACAAAAACAATGAAAAATGCTGCTGATTTCTACACTCAAACGACTGATTCCTTTTTGCCAATAAATGTTCCTTCTCCGTGTTTTTGCTGTGAACATGTGGAGCCTGTACGTCAACAAACCGCCTGTCCTTCTAAATATTTAGATATTTCTCTGGTACGTTAGTCATGGAAAATAAAAACCGAGCAAGTTTTTTGTGTCAAGTAGCAAAAAAAAAAGTTGTAGGAGGATGTGTTGAGTTAATGTGCCGTATTCTTGTTGGATTTTCTGCGATTGTGCACATAAAATATTAGTTTATTCCGACTTCTCTTCCCCCTAGTCGGGCTTTTATATAAATAAACAGCATGATTATATTACGCAGCTTTAATGGGCAACGTCATTTGTGCAGAAGGAATTGAGGAAAAAGATATAATCGTGACTTTTCTGACAGATATCAGGATTTGATTAGCGATATAATGTTCAGTTACACAGTCGCTCATCAAAAGCCAGATTAAAGCAGGAGAACAGTGGAGCTGCTGATTGATTAACTGTCGACTATTCAGCTAATCCTATCTGTTTTGATTGATTGGTCAGTCTAAATTCTTCTTTAAGAGCAAAAAAAAAGCATCATTTCTCTGATTTCAGCTTCTTAAATGTGAATATTTTCTGGTTTCTTTCCTCCTCTGTGACAGCAAGCTGAACATCTTTGAACAAAACGAGACATTTGAGGAAACACTCAACAACATTTTCACCTTTTTCCTACTAATCAATGAATCAAGTGAACAATACAAACTAATCAACAGCCCTGGAGAACGGCATGAATTTGTAAAACCATTCACGCGACTGTTTAAACTCTGGGTCGGATGTTTTGCTCGAGCTTTTACAAACTGAGCTGTCGCCAATTCAGAATCAGAAATACTTTATCGATCACCAAGGGGAAATTGTTTAAAAAGACCTAAACTAAAGCACTGAGTTGGATTTAAAATCTTCTGATCCATAGTCAGACAAACAGTCCTACAACTGAATTTAATTAATTAATCCAAACATCATCGCAGTACGGTCTCGTGTAGTATCCACATCGCGGGAGCTGCAGTGTTTTGACAATATGTGTCACAAGATAACACTCAACATTTTGCCAATGCAGCTTCTGGTGGCTGATATGTGCCGCTATAATTACACATAAGGTACAATTGATATAAGTGCATGTTGTTTTGAAAAGCCTGCATAAGTCAGTGTGGGTTTTTGACAGTTTTTTTAAAACGAATTTTGCAAAACATTCAACGAATCGCTATAAAAAAATCATGGCACAGCATTTTAAATCGAGCTGCACGTTCTTATATATAATTTATATGAGTTTTTTTATGTTGTGGGACGTGTTAGGTGCCAAAAACTGTGTCTGAAGAATCTAAAATTAGAATAAGGAACGGTAATAAGTGAGTGAATTATCATAGCTAGTAATAGATTAAGTATTGTGGTGCTATAGAGATTCCCAGCCATCGAATCGTGTATTCTACATATAAAAACAACAAGTTTGTTTGGGACAGACGGCAGCAAAAAGACATTAAATCATCATGTTTATGTTTAGATTTATTTCCAGGTGAAAAAAAAATGTGGAAAATCAACCGTTACGCTAATATTGGGACTTAATTTGCAATACCTGTCAATAATAATGGGGGCATTCAGGGTTTCCAGGAGCTCACACGTGTTACATTCAGCAAAAAAATAACGTGCAAAGTGGAAGAAATAACCTGAACAGTTTTTTTTGTGCGTATTGATCAGATGTAGTAGGAGGCTGGGAGTCATGAATGGAGCCTCCGCTGCAGCCTGTCGACCACGATCCACAACCATCTGTCCAAACGCCACCATCTACGCCAAACACACTCGGACACGCCGCCAGCCGACACGCATGTGTGTGAGCCAGATAATGAAAGTGAGTTGGGGATGAAAGGGGGGGTAGGACGAGGGGGGGGCGGCAGCTTACACCTTCAGCATGATGACATCATTCTCAGGTATCAATGGAGTGGCGCAGCAGCTCTGTGTTGAGCCTCTTACACTGATTTCTCTTGCATTTCCCCAGCTGAAATGTGGGGGCTCTGTTTCATACCAGCCAATGCCATGTACCCCCCCCCCCCCCACCAACCCCTTTTATAATACCTTATAATAATGGCAGCTACACTTCCTCAGCTGGGCGCCACAGATGAGCCTCTCTGGGGATGATGACTGCACATATATTTCCCTAAAAACCCCACCACGCTATAATTAGATTCAAACACAGCGTTTTCCATCTGAAACAGCTGGTGAGGAGCGCATTCCTCAGCCGCCATGAAACCGTCCGATTCTGCTCAATTCAGGAACAAATGTCGCCCACGGTATTGACTACCAGCTGTCTTTAAATAAATGCATGGCCCCTCAGTGTTTTTATGGCTGACTGGTGACACTGTGCTCTGGCACAAGGGGCACAAAAAAAAAAAAAAGAGGGTTTATCATGTGTTATAGGAGATAATCCTAATAACACAATGATATCTGTATGAAATAATTTAATGAAACAGGTGACAGCTCAGGGAATGCACTCAGAAACACAGTTATTACACCGTTAATCAGCATTACAGGCTTATTAATGCTTTAAAAATGTAAATGTGTTGCAGTGAAGCTGGAAAATAAAGAAAACCACCACAACAACCTCACATTTTCTCAGCTATTTTTTTTTTTTTGCGCAACAGCCCCTTAAACCGCACAATTAAATAAACAAACAATAACAAGCAAACTCGACAATATTTGATTTAGAATCGAGTTTCTCCATCAACAGGACGTTGTTTTTGTTTTTTGTTTTTTTTTTCAGATCCAAACAAGTGATCCTGGTGTCAGCTAATCAGATGATGTAATGCCTTTTATTCACTTGTTTAATGGACACATCGTTGGCGTCGCATTCACGGGAATAAAACGCGTTTTCACGTCGCGGTGCTGAAAAGCAGAATGTTATGATTTCGTGTCTGAGCGCATTTTAACGACCAGGACTCAACACTTGAACGCAGGCTAACGCTGCTAGCTTCCCGGCTAACTGTTATTGTGCAAGATGGACCCCTTCTTTCCACCAACTGCCGAGCCGAGGCTAACTAACTACCCCATCCCCCCATGTTTGTGTCTGTCAGCCGCACTGATAGCGCCTTTACCGGCTGCTTTTCCGCAGTTTCGCACAAATAAACGCCGACATCGACGCCTGCCCTCTCGTTCGGCGCTAACGTTAGACACCTTTACAAGTTTTTCCCCGACTGACACGCCGAATAAACTTACTTGAGCCCCAGTCCGTGGAGATGTTGTCCTATTAATCGTATGACATCCTCCTCCGCCTGCGATAGTCGCTTCTTCTTCTTCAGCGAGCCCACCTCCGAGCCCGAGGCCGTGGAGGCGGCCGAGGACGTCCCGGTGGTGGAGCCGTTGCTGGTGCCGACGCTGTTGCCGTTGTCCGTGCTGGAGAGGAGCCCGTTGGAGTGCGCTCCCCCGGCCGACGATGACTCCCCGTTTTGTGCGCTGTTCAGGCAGGAGAGCTCCGAGGATTCCTGTCCCTGTCCTGCCCCGTTTGCCTGCATGCTGCCGCTGAGGTTGTTGACGACGCTTCGGTTGAAGTGGATGGCGGAGGTGGCTTGAGAGTGAGTAGCAAGTCCTAGGACAACTCCGGACAGGCCTGTTACGACTGCTGAAGCCCCGGGCTCTCCTGCTCCCTCCGCCGCCGAGGCTCGGTGCTTCTTCCGCGGGGGCGGCGACGCTCCGCCGGTGTCCGAGTCGGAGGAGGAGGAAGCGGAGGCCAGAGTTTCCTCACCGAGAGCGGCCGTGGTTAGAAGCCGGCGGAGCTCCGGGTGGGAAATGAAGGTTGCGTTTCCAGGTTTGGAGCGGACTGTCACGGCGGAGCTCCGTCAGTCTGACCGTTTTGTTGTTGTTTCTCTGAAAACGGCTGCAGCTCTAATGGAGGCCCGACGTCCTGACGTAACAGGAAATTCCTACACTAGCAAGCTTCCGGGTAGAATTATAATCCAGGGCGGTGCAGAGGAGCTAGTTAGCATCAGAACTACCCACAGCAATACCAGAGGAGCTAGTTAGCATCAGAACTACCCACAACCATAACAGAGGAGCTAGTTAGCATCAGAACTACCCACAAATGTAAGAGGAATTAGTTAGAATTATAATTACCCACAAAAATAACAGAGTTAGTTAGCATCATGTTTACCCACAAAAATAACAAAAGAGTTAGCATGATAATTAACCCCCAACAAATGCGCTAGTTAGCATCATAATTAATCATAAAAACAACAGTGGAATTAGTTCGCATCTTAACTACAAATAATAATTCTACAATTTCCCCGAGGTACCCTACCAAAGGGATCAATAAAGTTCTATCTAATCTAATCTAATTTACTCTAATAACAACAGAGAAGTTAGCATCATAAATACCCACAAAAATAACAGAAGAGTTAGCATCATAATGTTCCTCAACAAATGAGGAAGTTAGCATCATAATTACCCACTAATATAACTGAGGAGTTAGTTAGCATCACACCTACTCATTACAATAACAGAGGCGTTAGTTAGCATCATAGCTACCCTCAACAATAACAGAGGCGTTAGTTAGCGTCACAGCTACCCACAACAATAACAGAGGTGTTAGTTAGCATCATAGCTACCCACAACAATAACAGAGGTGTTAGTTAGCATCATAGCTGCCCTCAACAATAACAGTACAGCAAGTTAGCGTCATGACTATCCATAAAATTACCATATCATCATCATATAAATGATAATGAACTAATATAGATTAGATTAAAACTTTATTAATCTTTCAATAAATTATATAAACTAGTTAAATCACCTTCAAGTGATAATTATAATCCAGTTACATACACTATTGTGAAATATGCTGTTCTGCACAATAAGTACTTTTACTTTTGGTCTTCGTTGGGTTTTCCGTGTATATTTTTTAAGACTTACCTTTCTTTTGAAGCTAGTTAGGTAATTTATTAGCGTATATAATACAGTGTTATATACGCTAATAAATTGCCTAACGAGTGGTGACACAAGAATGATCTCCAGTGTAGACACACAAGTATTTATCAATTTAATATGATCTTTAATTCATTCCAATAATTTTTTAAAAGTGTAAAAATCAACATTATCATCAGTGTTATTTTAAGATAATTCAGTTAATTAGATCACTGATTAGTGCAGATTACCAGATTACTAAATTATGAATGAAACTAAATGACCTTTACTATGATCACAATTGTTTGTACATTAACATTCTGCTATGGTGGAATAAACAAACAAACAAACGTTGGATGAACTTTAAAACTTTCAATAAACATGTTTTTTTTTTTTATATTTATACATTTTTATGCTTTTCATTCACACTCATGCTAAATTTAGGGATTTAATTTGAGAGCAACTGTCAAAATCAAAAATAAAATGACAAAATAATCTCCAAGGTATAGTGCAAATATGTTTTATTAAAACAATATCAATACAAAGTGATTAAACTACATTATTTTACAAACCTGAGCTCAAGGTAGAACAACTGGGAGGATAATTTATGTCTGTTCAAAGCTTGTATTTCACATAAATAGTCAAGCGAAAAAATTGGTACAGCCCCAGAAACTGTTGGCGTTTCTGTCAAACATTTGATCCTCATTGATACAGAAAAAGATGGTAAACATATTAGACAATATCTTCAAGCTCTGTCTGACAGAATAAATCCCGTGCGAGTCCTGAACATTTTCCACCACCACGTTTCACAGCTGCTGTGAGCGTCTTCTCCTGAAAACCTGCCAAACGTGTTTCTGTGGACAAACAGCTCTATGTTTGATTCATCAGTGCAGAACGTTGTTCCAAAAGACATGCTCTCTGCCTGTTTGTTCACTGGTAAAGGCTATTTCCTGGCACACCTCCCACGCAGGTCAAATGATCTCCTTCTGATTGCAGCTGCAGCACTTTGACGACAACCGTCAGCTGCAGAACCCCGGGTGGAAATTTGGGACTTTTTGGAGATTAATTTTGCACCTTTGCTCTGAAGCTGGATTTGCTTTGCAGCCGGTCCAGGACGAATTTGTTTTAAATCTGCATCACTAAACACAGGGCTGTACTTTGGTCCGTTTACTTGAGTGCATCACCTTTATCTGTAGGTTCTCTTTCAGCGTTCACTTCCTCAAATATGTTGGCAAAAAAAATCAACAGTTTCCATCGGCTGCACTTATTTTTTTCACATCTCATTGAATCAAAAATGATAAAGTCTTTAATGCAGGAGCTCTGTGACATACTCTTGAATTATATACAACTTTACAAAATAAGTTTCTGTTCTTAAATGTTATTTCGCTGCTGCAAAAGTCATGATAGTCGTACAGTACACTGTTGTGTTGGTCTACTTCCATAATCCTTAAATTATCTATAAAAAAGATCTACGTCAATAAACTGTATATGAGGTGTGATCAAAAAGTTCTGGGACTGCCGATGGTCATGCATGAGCAACAATAACTGTTACGGCTCAGGTGACCAGAGTTCTACTGTGGATTACGCCATATGAAAAACAAACCCAGTTCTGATCCCCTCAGAATCAGCTGCTTGAACCAGGAGCACTTGGAGCAGAGCGTCACCACGCCAGGAAAAGTTTTCGGCGGGGATGGAGAGTTTTTAACGTTTACAGTCTTTGAACTTTTCGATCGCACCTCACACGTGAGAAACGGAGCAAAACTGACTTCCTGCTTAGTCTACCTGTGCGGCATTGACATTTTGAAAAAGAAGAAAAAATTGTCACGAAAGCTCCCCAACTTGGTGCGGGAGGGCAGTGGTCACCGGGTCGGCGCTTCTACTGGGTTTGTCTTTGCCCTTCATGAAGAAGGTGAGCAGCTCCCCTTTGCCCTTGACGAATATGGGCCCTCGTCGGATGAAGCGGAAGCCGTACTCCTTCAGGATGTTGCAGCAGTCCTCCACCACCTGGGGGCGCAGCGGGACGCAACAGTTAAAGCGCAAAAACAGACACGATACCAACATCCACATAAAGTCTAAACAATAAACCCCTGACATGTTTTTGACATCGGTTTGGGACTTATTACTTTCCTTACATCTAACTTCAAGACAACTCCAGTTGCTACGATTAAATTACGAGAATTTCAAGAGCAAACACTTCTCCCCAACACGCTGTTTTCACATGGAAATGTTAAATCCAGCTGCAAAGCTAGCATGTATGTGTTTCTTTGAGTTGTAGAGCTGCTATCGTGCTTAAAGCCGACATAATTGAGCACTTTTTTTGCCGACCTGACATCAGTAAACTTACTAAAGTCTCTGCTACAGTGCTCCTTTACTGGGTTTAACTCCCACAATGCTCTCTGCTTCCTCTACAGGTTTGAACAGTAAGAGGCTCCACCTGGTGGCGCAACCAGGTACTACAGCTGATCTACAATAATGTGTATTATCAAGGAAAATACTTAATCTGGATGTCCCTAAAAACAGCTCATGCAGTGAAGTGGATCGATGAATGTGGCAGTTTGAGCCTGAGAGGTTTGAAATGAGCAGGAAGCAGCGGTGACTGTGTAACCTGGATGTTTCCCATCACGCCGGTCGACTCCATCCTGCTGGCCACGTTCACCGTGTTGCCCCAGATGTCGTAGTGAGGTTTACGAGCTCCGATCACTCCGGCCAGAACTCCTCCTTTGTTCAGACCTGAAATTAAATTTGATTAAAAACTAGTTTAAACTCGCAGACAGACGCTGGCAGACGCACACACTGACCGATCCGCAGCATGAAGTTGTTGAAGGACTGCTTGTTGAGGTTGTTCAGGGTGACTTTCATGGCCAAGGCGAAGTCGGCGAGAGCGGCGAGGTGCTGCCAGTGTTCCATCAGGGACTGGTGCTCCAGCTGGGGACGGACAGGGATTCACAGATAATATCATCAACGTATACAGCAACAGGTTGGATTCAAAAAACAGCAACGATACGTAAGAATATGAATTAATTTGTTATTGAGGTGAAATGGTGCAAAAGACACCAAAGAGGACAGCAGGGATAATAACTGATAAAAACTGATCTAAAGGAGAGTAATTTTCATCGGATTACTGCATTATATTCTAATATATTCTGAATTGTGCTTGAAATGAGTGTTTTTCTTGCCATAATTAAGACATTTCCACCATAAATTGACACAAAAAAGGTAAAAACTGGTGCATAAGAATTCACCAGAATGCAGGAAACCAAACGCTTGCTGCTCAGAATCCCCAGCAGTCCTGATCAATGTGTTAAAACTAAATGAACACCCATAAATGAAGTTACTGGAGCCCACCTTGCGGCTGCTGTATCCGTTGGTGTTGCTTTCCGGCGTCAGTCCTGAAGCTGCCATGTAGGTGCTTCCTATCGTCTTGATCTTTGTGATGCACCGGAACTCGTCTCTGTCTAACAACTGGAGGACAAAGTGGACGAGAGTCAGTCTGACTTCATGCAGCGATGCTCCA